TTTCCCTTTCTTTCTTGTTTGTGGTCTCAATTGATTTCCGTATCCACTTCGTCATGATCTCTCGTAACTTCTGGTAGGTCTTATCCGGATCCTTATCCAACATGTTGTCGTACACAGACAAGTCTAACGCCATAACTTTGGAATCCTTAATCTTATCCCAAAGCAGGTTGCGAAGTGCTTTGTCAGGAAGCATGTCATCCGCATCCATACCTGATATGATCTCATCCCACTGTCCAAGGAATCTGGATAGTTGATTATCCCCAGGGAACTTTAGATCGAATAAGTGCTTGGATGCATACATCACATCAACGTTGTCGGCACTCCGGAAACTATCGACGATCAACGCTAACATTTCTCGTCCCTTGACCATTCCAGGAGTTGTGCCTCTCGCACGTCTCTGCATCATCTGCCTCACCTTCAGTTGTACGTCATGAGATCTCTCACCTGCTGCGTGGATGATCGTGTGTAGGGTGATACCTAGCTTAGCGTCTATGCTAGCGAATCTTGCTTCGCCTGATGTCTCGAGTAGAAATGGGTCATATGGTGATCTGAAGGCATCCGAGAGCCATTGGATCCAGTCTTCTTGCTTCTCGTCGCCCGATGCCGTCACGACTGCCGCTACAACCTGGGATTTCCAAACCTCCAAGTCGTGTATCTTGGGCCATGCAGGGATGTTGATCTTCTCGTCTTCCTTCCGAGATATCTTGGAGCCACCTGAGCTAGAGGATGAAGCGGCACCATGTTCGGTTGCGGCTGCATTCTCTGCACTTGTGCGCTCCTCTTCGTACCTCTTCCGGTACTTATTCCTCTCATCTCTGAGCCGTGATGCATGCGTTTCGAATTCCATCATGTCCTGTTGGTTCTGCATCATACCTTCGTAGTACTCACTTGCCTCTTTCTCCTCGGACCTTAATAACTTTTCAGTACGTTCAAGTTCCGCTCTAAGCTTGGTCATCATCTCATTCTCCACACTGGGTTCTGATCCCATGTCTGGTGGTTTCAACTTCAGTGCGACCTTCAATTGTGCTTCACTTGCGCTTGATTCGATCAATTCTTCCTGAAGACGCTTCAGCATCCTCTCTTTACGTAGAATGTCCTCTTCCAACATGTTCACCTTGGCTTCGGCCTTCTTGAGTTCGGCGCTAGATGGTTGAAATGGTCGATCGGATCCTTGAATCCTCGTCTGAGTCAACTCCTCGTTCGCCTTCTTCAATTGCTCTCTGATGCTCAAGATGAACTTATCCTGAGTATTAGATCGGTTGTTGAGCTCCTCATTCTCTTCTGATAACCATTTGATCTTGTTTGCATACATTGCTTCCCTCATCTTCATTTCCTCAGCATATTCGTGCTTGTTTCTGGCACTCTGCCTTTGTAGTCCAACCAACTCCTGTCTACACAGATCCTTGACGTTCTCAGCATCTGCGATTGTAGTCATGACCTCGGTTACGGCTCGATCTCTTTCCGCCGATATAGCCTGGATCTCTTCCGTGCCGATGTTCACAACTTGACTAACCATCTCTGCGCTGTTGCGATCAGCGTACTCCCCTAACTGGGTGAGACGATCCCGCATTGCCACACGATCAGTGTCCATCTGGTATTGCAGATCGTGTGCTGCTGAGAGCAAACAGTCTCTGGATTCTGTAAGCTGGGAGATTCTTCGTTGATTTCCATATCCTTCGACATAACATTCTTCGAGGTGTGCCATCACTACTTCGTGGACTTCGGTCTCGTGTTGTATAATCTGGTTCTGTCTCTGCTCACATTCGACCATCCATGCGTTTTGGTGGTTCAACATATGCACTTCGGCAAGTAGTTGCGCACACTTCGCATTCAGGTCTCCATCGGCCCGTGCTAGTTGTAGGTTGTCAGTGCTTGCCCTTGCTCCATCTCCAGCTTCGCTGTCCGACGGCACTGGTACAGCTGACCCATCCTGCAATGCTAACACTCTCACAGCTCCGGTGTCAGTCCTCCTCCTTGTCTCCCTAGGGCTACGGCCTGATCTCGGTGTCCCCCCCGGTGGTGTCGAGTGCGCTGACGGGGAACGACTTCGTGCTCTACCTGTCGCATCTTCTCTCACCGCTGTCAGAGTCTCCACTTCGATCGTACCTGGACTAGAGTTGTGGGATGCACTCATCCGATCTGTGGCCGCAGCAGCTGCCCCAAAAGATGCAGTGCTGGCGTCGGATTGGTCCATCTTCAGTGACTGAGGGTAACTGATCTATCCGATGCGTGTGCGTTTAGATGGTGTTGTGTAAGGCCGCAGCTCGTACCCAGCTCAAAGGAGTCTGGATACGGCTGATAACCTGCGAACGGATGGAAAGGTGTGCCCTGGCCCCGTTCTAGCCCTTAGTTCAACATGAAGCTCGCGCGCTAAAGCTCCTTTTTACCTGGTTGGGCACTTGAGCCAAAAGTATATGGCATGTACCTGTATAGCGACTATACTGGGACCCCATCCCTATTGACAAACATGTTTCTCCGTCAAACACCTCCAGGGTGTTTTTTTTCTTTTTTCAGGCTTCTTGAGCAAAGTTGGCAGGCTGCAGCAAGCAAGCAAGTTCAAAAGACTAAGCAAACATCTCCAGGGGCTCCTACGTAGATACTTGCAGCCCATAAAACCGATGCATTCAAGACTTTGTGCTTCAAAGCCGCCGTTAATCTCTTTTGTGTCATCTTTCCCACCAATCACCAATCACGTGGAAACCAACCAACCGTCTCTATACGGCACCAACCGAGAACGAAGGAACTGGCACCTAACCGAGGCCCTCGGCCTCTTCTTGAGGCCTTTGCGTGGCGTCCTGGGTGCGTTGCGTGCTTCGTTCGGTGTAGCGTTCCGTCCGTTGACCGGTTTGACCGGTTGGACCGGTGGAGCAATCCAATCATGTAACTATTCACATGCTTGGCCAATCATGGCAATAATCGTGAGACATGTTGCTATTCACATCCTTGGTGCTAAAGAATTTGAATGGAACATCGTTGACTGGGAAGTGTGCATTGGAACAATTGCGGTGCACCATGGTGCACCCTTTGGCAGGCATGAACATGCGTCGTCTGCGCCCAGTAGAACATCCAAAAGCGCATGCAATTTGCGTGAACCTGTCTGAAAGGATGTACATACAACCAAACGCGGTGAAATTGCCTGAAATTCGTTCCGTTGAATCATTGAATTATTGAATGTTTGATTCAAGCGGCCTTGTTTGAACCAAAGCCACGCTGGGTTGAACGACCGTCGGGGGCTTGACCCGAGAGTCGTCTGTCGGACAGCGGTGTTGCCGGTATTGACCGTGCTAGCCGCTCGAATCGGTCAATAGCAACGTATTTGGATTCAAGCGATGAACGCCGGGATTCATACGGTGACCAAAAAAGGCCCGCAAAATGGGCACCATCAAACAGAACGACACTGGGTGTGGGACTTGTCGACAAGACTGATGGCTACACTCTGCGCTGCTCTGGTCAAGGATCGAGGTTAAAGGTTCTGCAGAAGCTGGTTCTTCCACTTCTTCAAGAGCTTTCCCTCTCTTTCCTTTCAAGCCCTTCTTCTTCGGCCTCGTGCGGCAACTTTCAGATGAAAATGGATGGAAACACGTGCAAGGCCCCCGTGTCTATCACTCTGATGGCTGAATTCTTCAAGGCCATGAACAACCCAAATGGCTCCGACTGCGGAGCAGAAAGGATCGCAAAGGGAGGTCATGGCGATCGCGCCTTGGTGGTGCCTCCACCTCTGGCGTGGATCTCTTTCGCTTCATCGGCCTGGAAAACCCCAGAGTCTGATTTCGATCATTCAATCCATTTGGGCGTGCATTTCCAATGGGGAGTCTCCCAACCAATGGGTAATTGGTCTATTGTCTCTTCTTCCAGTCTTGGGGAGGTCTCCCTATTTTAGCACACTGCACACTTTTAGCACACACACACACCCATTCAAGGGGCCAACGGGTACGAGTGTTGAGCATTTCACGAGAAGTGGCTTCTCCATTGTTCCGACCAGAACCTTTTGGCTGCCATGCTCCTTCGAGCTATTGTGGGGCGAAGACATCTTTTCAAGATGTTTAAAGGGTCTTGAAACTATGAATTTGAGGAACGGCTGCTACACCTCTTGAAGGTTGGCATTTGGATGAACATGGATGAACAGCTGACTAGTTCCCTCCCAAACACCTGCAACTGTTCAATGAGTTTGTACCCCAGCCTTCCAGCCACAGAAAATGCGAAGACAAAATGAAAGCTCTTAGTGGTAATGGCTGGATGTGAATCAATAGGAGATGATCTTGGGTCTAACGCAGCCAGACTCCAATACAAGAAATGACACTAATTGAACTGGGCACGTGTTCTCGGGGTAAATCGCTTGTGTGTGTTGCATTTCGCCCCATCATGCCTCTTAGATCTCTTAGATTGCAGTCTCTGTGCTCTCATGAAATGTCGCGGGCAGCTACCCCGGAAAGCCCCCGTGCCCTGATGGCACGCAATCTGCGCAATGCCTGTAAGTGTTCCTTATATAACTTATATACGTTTAACCGGGAACAGCAACAACCCGACATAAAAGTCATACAGGTTGTTCCACTATTCGATGTTTCTGAGATGTCTGGGTGGATTCGTGGCCAAAACGTGTGGAGTCACATGTTGCTCTGACCTATCAACAGTATCTGAAGGTTCCGCAGTGTAGGTGGTCCAGAATTCAGTGCATCGGTGGGTTCCGTGCAGCAGCGTGTGGAGCCGCTCTGCTCTGGAGTCTGGAGCTTGTAGCCAAAGGCTTCAGGAAAGGCCAAGCGAAGCTACCGAACTCTTTGGACACAAAGATTGCATGGTATGTGAGTGTTGCAAGTTGGCTGGACGAAGCATTTCCAACACTAAGAGTGATCCTGGAAAGCTGCCTTTTTGGCTGAAAGAATGCTGAAACATGCTGAAGCATCATCTAGCAATCTAGCAATTGCTGAGCAGATATCAATATCCTATCAATATCTTATCCATATCTCATATCCATCCATATCCGACTCCTCTGAGCCTCTGGCGCTGTAGGCGTAGGAAGCTGACGGAGCCTCGGGCGTATCGGTACATCGTCCGTATCGGTACATTACCCAGTACAAGGAACACCGTCTTCCCCCAAGCACTGGGCCAAATGACTCTGTGACTCTGTGGCTTACATGAGGACCTGATGAGGAAGTTCTTACATCATCATCCCGGTGTTCAACTTGTGGCGGTTGCTGGCAGCTGTCTGAGAAATTCAGAATGCTTCATCGGTTTCATCATGCTATTCATCGGTCTCACCTGCTGCTGCGGCCATCAATCTTCCCATCATCCACGAACGGCAAAGGAGCAGCTTAGGGTCCGGCACAGCTCGGCCTTGAGTACCTATGCAAACAGCATGGACCGCGTTTGGACCACTTGCAGCTCCAGGATTTGGTCATAAAAAGCCGCTGCCCCCTTGACGCTTCTTCGTCAAAACCAAAGAAACCGGGGACACTCTTGGACCCCAACACAGGTCACACCGGGACCCAACGCAGGTCACACCAGCACCGCCGGACCCCCCCTCTGAGCACTGAATCTCCAGCTTCCTTCGTCTCAACGGCGACCTCCGCGTGGGCGCAGCTCGTTTCACACCCGCCAGCAACGGCGCTGGGTCTTCGTGTCGGGGCGGAGAAACACAGCGAACACAGCGGTGTGCGAATCCCCCAGGCTGCCCCAAAGGCTGCGAAACAAGCAGCTGCGAAAGGAACCTGTAGGGACATCAGCCTCCAAAAGTACCTGGGTCATGGATGAGTGCCGTGAGACCATGCTGTCTTATAGGCGAATCTTTTGAATGGACCCCTTCATGAATGATGGCCGCTGGCCACAGGTGCACGAACCCTTTCTGAATCCGTCCAACGTCCAGCGAGTCAAATGTATGGTCGCATATGGTCGCCATCAGCATCTGTGCGTCCTTCCGAAAACGCCTCAATTCCTAATAAAAGCTACCACATGGAGTTGGTCACCATGTTGTCCACTACAACCAAAATCTGGTAAAACAGCCTGAGCGAAGTGCTGAACCCCTCATCGACCCCGCCTGAGGAGCAAAGCCAGGCCGCTGGCCAGAAGACTTCGGAGCCTAAGGCTTGAGAGGGGGGTTGATGGCAAACATGTCAGGTTTCTGAGGATCTCAATCGTACAACTCACTGTATTAAAGTATAAAAGTGCGGAACCCAGGCTTCCAAAACTAAAACAGGAATAACTTTCTTGCGGCAACTACATCCAGGGAGGCTTACAAACATCCCCACTGCAACAGCTGCACGTCTCCACAACCAGTCGAAAGTGTCTCCACAAATATGTAAACACATATGATCTTAAAGTATATAATTACACTCCGGAAGGATGAGCCGTGATGACCCTGAAATCCTCAAACCAAAACAGGTGTTCTTCCACTTCCATGGATATGTCGGGGAGCATATACCAAGAACAAAAAGGGACCACAGTTGTCCAAGAAGTGAAGCACCTGAAGCGCCTTAGCACCCCGACGCAGCCGACACACGGCTGACGTGCTGGCCCACAGCAGTCCTTCTGGCAAGTCGTTTGGATCAGAGTGCTTCCGGCAACTGCTTTCTGGTGTACACAGCTGCTTCCTGCGCTGGTATTATGACAGTGGCCTCCAGGAACCGAAAGCATTGTAGTGGAGGTCTCCTCTCCGAAGTTCCCCCCAGGTTTGATGCTTTGAGGACCGCCCGGCCACTCACCCGCGACCTCAACACCGTGCCAGCCAGCCCCGAGACGCGCCTGCTCGAGGCCCGAGACGCGCTACCAACCTCTGTGACTTGGCCAGGCGAACGCCGTGGGCGCGCGACACCCGAAGAAAACGACAACTGGATCTCGTCACATCCTGTGGCAAAAAAAATCCAAAGTGCATATGGATAATGTTGGATGCTGATTAGTAATATAGGGTCCTCTATAATGCTGTAGTTTACTAACCAAGATCATTCAAGATCTAACATTATACTCAAAAATATATGCATGGTGCACTTGTGGCCGGTGACCTCTCCGTGGCACACCCCACTTCGTTTGACCTCTCTGTTCGATCCTCTGGACTGGGGTGTCCCACAGATGGGACCTCCCACGCCGCTGGCGTCGCAGTCCGCGCCAGGTGCCAAGTGAGCGGACCGGGTGGCCGGAGCATCACACGTTTGCGAGTGGTGGCCAGTGGTGGCGTGTGGTGGCGTGGTCTTGGCGGTCTTGGAGGTCTGGCGAGGGTTGGGAATGATGTCAGTGTGTTGCAAGATGAGGCCCCCCAAATTGAAGCTAAAGGAGCAAAACACAAAATATGAACGCAGTGAAAGGCGGCTTACCACCACAAATCCCATGATCCCATGTGTTTAGAGGTTCTAAGTATGGAGTCTCTTGAAGGTGCCAGGGTGCAAGAAGTCCATCTGTTTGTAGCAGCTTAGCATGTCAGGCCCAGGCATCCAAAGCGTAATGTAGGTTTCATATAGAAGGTAAACATCCGGCTATCGAAGAGTGGTCCAAACCATGATAGGCAAGCAAGTCTGAGTACAATGCCTTGATCCTGCCCACGCGACGGTGCAACAACTAGGATGCGGAATCATTTGATTTGTTGAGTAACTGAGTTCATGCGCACATCACAGCCAACATCATCCAATTCAAGAAACAGCAGGGCACATGTAAAACTCGGCTTGCCCATGAGTCATGTGTGGCCTGATTTTCCTCTGCGTTCTCTGGCGATGTGGAAGGCCAAAAAAACTGGTGTCTTCTGACCAGCTAGTGACGTGCAATTGAAAGTCTAACAGGTAATTAAGTTATTGAGTAACACATAGTAAAACTAGTTCAGCGCAGTTGTGTGGAAGACGGAAACAAGCTGGCTCAATCATGCATACTCTCAGGCAGAGGGCCCGATCTCAAAGTCCCTAGTCCCCAAGAAGGTTTTTGAAGCCGTGCTGGCACGCCAAATCCAACATCCTTGGAACTCGCCACTGTTGCTGCTGGCATGAACACACGTCATGCCTATACACACTCAGTTCCCAAGAATGTCTGATTGATCCTTTTTGCACATGCATTCGCTCATGAAGAAGAATCTGGTTCAGGACGCGCAGCATAACATGCAAACTACAACACCATTTGCGCCCGCATGTGCCAATACAAAAAGAAACGGAGTGTTGCCTCAATCCAAGTCTTGAGATCCACCCATGATCCAAACACGGGAGAAAAGCGCTGAGCCGCAAAAAAAAAGACAATCCAAGGCGCTGAACGGCTCATGCGTGGCAGTTCAGCACTCACCGTGGCAGTGGGACCCCCCCAAAACCACTCAGAAGAGAGAGAGCTTGCGCTCTCTAAGCGGACTTGCTCCCAAACCCCTCGGATTGATCGGTCATCTTTCGCCTTCCAGGACTGCAAGAAACAGAAACATGTCACAGTGCTTTGAGAGTAGATGGCACAAGTTACCCCAATCTCGGTGGTTTAGATGGACCCCGCTTTTGTTGAGAGACATCTTGGGGTGCCAGTGCCATCGAACTCACCTCTGAAACCACTGTAATGGACAGGACCCCACTGTGAACCTCCGAAGAGCACCCGCATCGATTCTTGGAACCTCTTGCTTGGATGTTTATATAAATAAAATTTCATGGACAGCACACGCATCTCCAAGGGGTAGGAGCTGACTCCAGAAACCAGGTCCTGGCATCCTAGAAAATTAGAAAGACATGCACATGACGGGTGTTATTTTTTGGGGGGGGTGGCGGTATATCTTATGTTAAAACACAATATCTCATCTCACAGATTCGATCAAACGTCTGTCATGATCAACCTGGCCGAGCTTCTGGATCCTCTGCTCCTTGAGCTTCCCTTGCACCAGCTCGTGAGAGACGATCCACGCGACTCCGCCCACCGCCAAGGCCCCCAGCGAGGCCACGCCCGCCACGGCGGCGACGCCGCCCAACATCCCCAAGCCGCCCGAGGCGACGGTGCCACCTACAGGTCTAGGACAGCCAGATCCAAACCAGCTGAGGTCCTGAAAGCCTGCAAACCCTCATGAGTTCTTGCTTTTAGATGTTTTTTTAGATTGCCAAAGCAAGGTCCAGCAACATGAGGCGTTGACCTGTAGGGGAAAGGCTTCTACCAAAGCTGTAGAGGTCTCCAGAAACTGTAAACGAAAAAACAACCAAAAAGTCCGAGGTTGAAAGATTGGCGATTCTTCTGGGTCTCTGCAAATCGGGGCGCTTTAGTATACTGCGGCTGCTTTGCCCGATGGGGGTCACGTGGTTGGGTTGCTCTCAGACTTGTTTGTCAGTCCAAGTGGTCGCTTGCGGGGAATGTGTGCAAGCATGGCGAACCAAATATTGATTCACTGATTCACATGTTGAAGATTCCTAAATTCTCCATCGTCCACCCAAACTCACAGAGATTGGCGTAAATCGTCTCCAATCCAAAGCTTCTCAACCCGTGACATCCGCCTCTTGCACTTGCTCCATCTGGCTGTGGGTCAAAACCAGGACATCCTGGTTGACCACCGAACATGTAACAGACTACCTGGGAGGACAACCCCTACGCCTGGTTTGGGGCTCCAGGTATTGACCCACAGCCATATGTTTTCCACTTCCACCCGTCGGGTCCGCCTCCCAAGGCCGCCAATCCGCTGGTGATCCCTGAGGCCGACAGCCCCGCCACCGCGCCGCTCTCCGCCACCATGACGACGCCCACAGTGGACCCGCCGAGGGCGCCCAAAGTACCACCCAGCGCCACGGCGGTGGGGGTGATGGAGTTGTTCTCCATAGCATCACCTTGGGAACCAGGTGAACAATCCCTGGAACTCGCATGGAAGTGGATGGCACCCCCCCTGTTTGTAGAGGAGAATGGTCTTTCCAAGGGCCATGTTCCATTTCTATGTGAGCTTCAGGGAGTACACGCTCTGTTGGGTTGTTCTAGGGGTGATTGTTAGATGTAGAAAGCAGAAAGTATCTGTGCTAAGGCTAAGATTGTGGGCTGCAGGGTGGAGATGAATATATAGGTTTCGACTTTCCAGGACCCTCAGGACCAGTGGATTGTGGCATTCTCTGCTGTATTAAAATGGTGTGTTATTTTTTTTTGGGGGGGGAGGGGCTCACAGCCCCATCAAACAAGTAGAAAGGCACAGTATGGCACAGTATTAAAAAAATATGTTTACAAACCTCTCTCAGCTTGGTCACAAAGCTGGTAGATGGTGTGAGCCGTGAGCGCTGATGGTGCTGCAGCCACAACCAGGATCCCACCGACCATCCCACAGCCCCCAGTGGCGACAGAGCCGCCCCCCAGAGTCGCCAGCCCACCTGGGCGCGGCAGATCTCTGAAGCACCACACCACATGCGAAGAACCTCCCAGTTCGAACCCCTGCAAGACAGCACGTACATAGACTGAAATAGACCAAACCCCCTTTGGAACCCATTGGTTATGGGAGTGTTGGACCTGAACCCATGCCCAGGGGTGCATCTTCCAGCTTTTCCTCTGAAGCTAGAGATTTGTTCAGCCATATGCATGCTTACCCTTTCTTGTTACTGTTTGTTTCTCTCTCTCTCTCTCTCTCTCTCTTGTGCCTCATATGTTCCAATGCTCATCACTGTTATCTCTTGACTTCTTGGGCTTAAGATGATGAGTGAACAACCACACTGTGACCATGTGTGCGCCCATGTGCGCCTGACCTTCGACAACCAAAAAAAGAACACCACCAGAAAATCGTGTCTCCGGAGCACTGGTGACAGAGGCTGCACCGAAAAGACCCTCTGCAGCCGCTGCCGTGACGATCACTTTCACACCGGAGACTGAGGTGAGTTATGCAATCCTCACGAGAGCGCAGGAGACCTATATAGTAGCTTCTTGTTACTAGCAGCACATTAGCCACTAACAGCGATGGCGATGCTCTTGTTACTAGTAGCGATGCCCTTTGCTAATTACTAGTGATCCTATATAGATCCAAATCGTTCACCTTTGAACTCTATCCAGGTCTAAGTTTAACATGTACTCTGAATTGAATCCTGAAGTGTCACCGTGTCACTTCTTCATTGAGATGTTTCACGTTTCCACCCTGGAACTCATCCGGCTGAGGATCTGCGCCGTATTCATGGATGCCCTGGCAAGCCACAGCTGCGAACCCCCCCCCTCTCTCTCTGTGTCTCACTTCCTCGCGTGGCGTGCGTACGACACCTAGCCAACCACGCTATCTGAAGGCTACTTCTTTCCAGACCTGCCAAACTCTTCCAGAAACATTCCTGATGGCCAGCCTCTCATAACCTTTCGCTTCAGCTTCATCCGGCTAAAAGGGTCTCCAGCTTCTGTAAAACATGTCAAAGTCAGCCCCCCAAACCCTGAAATCTAACACGACCATTCACCTCCCTTTGCCAACTCCCGGCCTCACCATAACCTTCGCTCGCGACAAGTGCTCGTCAGGCACAAAGCACCAAATCGCATTGGCCTTCTCCAGCATTACAAAGACCTCGTCAGCGATCTTGACAAAGGCATTGGAACCCACCACGCGATCCACTTCGCCATACCTATGTTCACATCCGCTTGAGTGGCTGCAGCACTTGCAGTAAAGCATATATTATAGGAACCACTCCGACAAAAGCTTGCACGACTTTGTTCAATTTAGATGATACCTTCGTCCCTATCTCAGAAACATATCACATGACCCTGTGGCACCTCATGGTCTTGGAGTGTTTGCACAGGAACTGAATGATGCACTTCGGCTTGAACTGCTCATTCGTGCAAATCTTCGACCACACCTCCTGCATGCGGCCCCACTGCTCCTCCGTGATGGCCGGTCCACCATTTGACACGGAGCTGTTAGCACCCATGCTTGGCCAAAAACTGGGCGGGCTAACTGATGCTGAACCAAAGGCACGGTGAAAAAGACACAGTTCCACGGTCGGCTGTGTGTGGAAGAATTCAGCACCAGCAGCACCAGTGAAAAAGGGTCGACCTGGATTTGGCTGGGCAGTTCGCTGGGAGCCGCTGACTTGGCCTATCCGCTCTCCAGGAACTCCACACGATTGAAGAGTTTTCGGGAAATTTGGTGGAAACATGTTCAAACCGGCCCAGAACTCTGGAACCACGTTCCCCACCACACAAGGACTGTCGAAAGCTGCCAGACGAGCTGCAAAAAGCGCACAAGAAAGTCACTTTTTTGGCTCTCGGTGGGCCGGCGGGCGCATGTTCTTTCCT